TTCATAACCCTGGACACCCCAGAACTGATCTCATCTGATTCCTGCCAAGATAAAATATTTCAATACCTGTCAACAAAGTGGTCACCCAGAAGCTGATCAATAGCTGTGCAATGTTGTCTCAAGTACAGTTAGCTACTTGTAAGTACAGTCAGCTACTTGTAAGTACAGTCAGCTACTTCCATTCTTGGATGTTACACAGTAATGTGAAGAAGACTAAGATTATGATATTCCAAAAAATGCACCAGAAAGCCTGATAATATCAAGATTGTTTAGGAATTAGGAAATCGAATCTCATCAACAGGTAACTTCACTTTAGCACTTGATCACTTTAAAGAAAAAGCAATGCACGCATTTTACGGTGTTCGAAGACACAGACTTAAGTAGATTAAAACCAAACCTTGTATCAAAAATATTTCATATAATTATGATTTCCCCCATTCTTACTTATAATAGTGAAGCCTGGGGCCTCTATACAAAGCAAGACTTTAAGACCTGGAATAGTTCCCCAAAAGAAAAAGTTCAGCTACAATTTTTCAAATGCTATTTAGAAACAAACAATAAGGCTTCCAACTTGGCATGTAGAGCTGATCTTGGTCAATTTCCTCTCACTATTAAAATTAAATTAATTTAATTTTATATCAAGTTAAACACTCAGGGAGAAATTCAGTATCTCCATGCATGCTCCCACTATTCTTATAATCTTTCCATCCTTACCTTAATCTCGTGACTCTGAAGTAGAATGCGGTCAATTCTACAATATTTGGAATTTGTACCAAGCCACTGAGGAAATTCAATCCTCTGACCCATTCCCCCACTTATCAGATCAGATGGGATCACACATGACATCATTGCCTGAAAATTTAACATTTGATTAATACTGGATAAAGACTGAATTAACAAACTGGAATGAATTGATGATGAATTGACCTTCAACTCTCTATTGTTTTAGTACCTGCATGGGTAACATGGACTAATGCCCTTTCTGTCTAATTGGCTTTTCAGCCAGATCGTCATCAGATGGAGTCAGCTGTCTGACTAACAAGTGCCAGGGTCCTCTTTACAATTTGCCACTAATTTGTAAACAAAATGCATAAGGAACTGATAAGGTCCTCTAAAATGTACTATTTTTCAGCCAATGATCTTACTAATCATAGATGTACATGTACATGAACAAGTACAGCTGTAAATCTCTCATTAACCAGGCCTGCTTAAGGCTCTTGACAAACAGTGCATGATAGTCCATGATAGTTGTTTAAAGGGTCCGAAATTAATTTTTTTTGGCAGGCACTAACTGGCACCTGAAAAAATGAGATA